TGTCAAATAGGGCCTGTAGGGACAAACAGGACGTAATTAGCACGTGTACGTTGGGAGTTAGCGTGAAAAATGCCATAAACTTAGCCGAAAAAAAGGCTTCGAGGGCCGAAATTTGAGAGCAGCCTCCAAAGCACTACAAGGATGGCACGGGTAGCTTCCTCGTGTCAAATAGGACCTGTGGGGACAGACAGGACGTAATTAGCACGTGTACATTGGGAGTTAGCGTGAGAAACGCCATAAACTTAGTCGAAAAAAGGGCTTCAAGGGCCGAAATTTGAGAGCAACCCCCAAAGCACTACGGGGATGGCACGGGTAGTTTCCTCGTGTCAAATAGGACCTGTGGGGACAGACGGGACGTAATTAGCATGTGTAGGTTGGGAGTTGGCATGAAAAACGCCATAAACTTAGCCGAAAAAAGGGCTTCGAGGGCCAAAACTAGAGAGCAGTCCCCGAAGCACTGCGGGGATGGCACGGGTAGCTTCCTCGTGTCAAATAGGACTTGTGGACAGACGGGACGTAATTAGCACGTGTACGTTGGGAGTTGGCGTGAAAAATGCATAAAGCTTATACAAATATATTAAAGCTTAGCAATATATATATGTTCTATAACGATCTCTATATATGTACAGTTATGAATAAAATATATGTATGTTTACACATTAGAGTAAGCTTGAGTTGGGGTTGACTTGGAAATTTGTTTACACTTTAAATACAAGTTAACGTGTACAGAAACTATATTGAAATTCCTAAATTCAAACTATATTTACATACAATTTCAATTATAATTGACATCCTTGCAATTTGTGTTTTGTTGATGGCTATAACTTTTTGTTTAAAATGGAACTAATGGATGTAATTTTTGTTGTGTAGATAGCTTTTGGCATTGACATGTGGATTTTCTAATTTTTTCTCGGAAGATACACTTATGCAAAGTTGGGAAGTTTTTTGTCGTCCTATACTTTTTGCTGTGGACTGTGGATGCATCAAACATATAATTTTTGACGGGGTACAAAGTATTTTTGGAGCTTGTATTAATTGCTCCGGTGGTATAGCATGAATGAATCGTGGAATTTGGATGCATTGTACATATAATTTATAGTGGGGTACATAATATTTTTGGAGCTTGTATTACCTTTTGTCGTGGTACATATTACCATAGTAATTTGTACCTTGTCAAATGGTCATTACAATGCATAGTATAGTAAAAATGTTGTGTATAGAGGACATAATTTTGGTAACGTATTTGGAATGTATGATGTTATTATTTGTAATTGGAATATATGTAGTTCGTTCGTACATAAGTTTACATTATTATTTGTAGTTGGAATATATATAGCAGGTGTTCATTTTTGTTTTATGGTTCTAAGTGAACCATGTAGATGATACATACAGGTTGTATATGTATTACAGGTTGCGGTGGATATATATAGGTTCAGACGAAATTTAGTAAAATTAAACAAACAAAACAAAAATATAAAATGACGCTTTTGGTGACGAATCAATTTGTAGTTAAAAAGAAAAATCTTTTGGCGACTAAATTTTTAGTAACCAAAACGAGTAAAAAAATAGTTATGGCGACTAATAATTTAGTAGCCAAAAAAACTGGAAAATAGTTATGGCGACTAAATGTGTAGTGGCTAAAGCTCAAAAGACTTTTGGCGACTAAATATTTAGTAACCAAAACAACTCCAAAACAGCTATGGCGACAACCTGTTTTAGTAGCTAAAACCCAACAAATTTTTGGTGAATAAAGATTTAGTCGCAAAAACATAATAAAATAATCATGGCCGACTAAACATTAGAAGCTGAAGTTGCACTATTAGCGACAAATAATGTCGCCGCCGTAGATATTATATTTTTTAGCAACAAAAACCTTAGTAGCTAAATAGTTGAGTTAAAATATTTAATGAACGGTTTGGGCGACAAACGGGTTAGCCGGCAATATCACTTATCCGCGACTACGATTGTTTTCGTCGCCAATGCCTGTTATTTTTGCCTATTAACACGTTAGTCGGTATTTTGTACTACTTATGGCGACTAAATGGATTTTAGTCGCTAATTCCTTCGGCGACTATGTATGGCCGACAAATCCAACGACCGAATTATTTAGTCGGGAAATACTTTTGGCGACTAAAATATGTACTTTTGGCGATGAATTTTTTAGTCGCTAAAAGTGTATTTTCTTGTAGTGCTCATATGATAAAACTTACACTTATGTGAAATATTTAATAAAATAATTGATAAAAATATTGGGACTTCTAACATTACGCAGTGTTTTTTTTTTTTTACTTCTCAAGTTCTTGAATTGGACATTATATCTGGTCCCATGTTCTTCGTCAATGTCTTTCCATCTAGAATCAGAAGACAAGAATTATTATATAAAATAGTAATATTACAACCTCATAGTTGGTCCCATGTTCTTCATCAATGTCTTTCCATCAAGAATCAGAAGACAAGAATTGTTATAAAATAGTAATAATACAACCTCAAAAATTTTACTCCTATTTATAGCTTAGATTCATTCCATATTTTAATTCACATTTCATCCATTCAATCTCCACTATACAGATCCATTATTTTCCTGAGATGATGACGTTTGTGTATATAAAATTCTTCAGTATGCACAAATGGGTTCCGTTTGGAATGTGAATTTATTGGTTATTTTAGTCAAAAAAAAAAAAAAAAAAAAAAAAAAAAAAAACTAAAATATTTAATAAGGCAAAATGTAACATTTAAATCATAAGTATTTCATTTTTTCTTTCACAACCATCCATTTAATTACAAAAAAATAAAAAATAAAAAATCATCTCAAATACAATTTTTTTAATTAGACTAAAATAATCAAATAGCCAAAAGCCATCCCAAACGAGCACTGAATATCCAACAATTGATCAATAATTTTATGGCTAAAGAATCAATTACCTGCTAGACCCATCAAAAAGCCTAGAGTCCATGGATCGGAAAAGTCCTGGTCTAGCTTATCGGGCTTAGCCCAATATAGGCCCAAATATGGCTGGGCCCAAAATTACGTGCACGTTTTGGACCAAAAGGGTATGACCCATGCGCTGGCCTATAAGCCTCGGCCCATAAATGCATCCCCCCCAAAGGCCCTTACTAGGCCTATGCACAATAATGAATACAAAATAAGATTAAAATATGCATTTTTTGAACGTATGCATTTTTAGTGAATGAACAAGATTAAAATTGAAAAACAAAATAAGTAACATGCCTAGTAAATTAGTAATTATATTTACACAATATTAAAGATGTATACAATTTAATAGCATAATCATAATAAATGTAATTTTGTATTTCAATAAGAGTAATGTTAGAAACCCTAAAAATTCTATCAAAATTTTTATCAAATATCTCACATTAGTGTGGGACTCACATCACGTGTGTCCCATGCGAGTCCCACACACATGTGAAACATTTGGTAGAAATTTTGATAGAATTTTTAGGATCTCTAGCATTTTTGTTTCAATAAACTAATTTTATTTTACATGATTCAATATTTAATTTTAATTATTGTGATGAATTTCAAAATTTTGCATTATAATATTTATTTTTCCTAATAAATTTTGAATTTAATAAAAAAAAATCTAAATTAAAGCCTAAATTAAGTCCATATGGGTCCAAACCCTCTCGAAGTCCATAAACCTATATTTTTAAGCACATGAATAGGGTGTGGGCTTTAAAATTTTGGATCGTCCAGCTTGATTAGACTATCTCCAACACTTCACCAAACCTTGCATCAGATTTGAAATTTGGTGAAAAAGTCACTTTTTGCAGCTCCAATAATTTCATTAAATTGGTATCAAAACGAGAATTCACTAAAATTTTCATCAAAGTAAGAACATGGGGAAGATTTCACCAATTTATTATGTGTGACTGTTGGAGGAAACTAACCGGTCAACCAAGCGGTTGACCAGCCAGTTGACCAACCGGTCGACCGGTTCCCTTGATAATAGGTTGGTTCAAACAGGTCAAAAGGTTCAAAGAGGTAAAAAATATATATATATATATACTAACTGGTCGACCCCTGCTTTGATGACAACTATTGGAGTAGTCTGTATCAGATTGAGAAAATGGTCTTTTTTTTACTCAGATTTGATAAAAAATTTGATGAAGATGCTCTTAATGAATAGAATTAATGATTGAACAATAATACACGTCATGTATTACTGTTATTGAATTTTTTTCGAGCTTCAAGAGAGGTAATACAAGCCCTGAAGAACAAACGCACAACCACCTGCGGTGGCTCCTCCGCCACCAAATGCCACCACCCCACAACACGTGTCGTGGCGGCAACAACATTGATATGGAAGTCCCTCACCAGCATGTCCCAATCTAAACACGGAGACTCGAAGGATTATCTTGCGTGGAAGAACAAGAACAGGTCTGCCCGTGCTAGAGAACTCTTTCGGGAACCCATTTACATTTGTTTTAATCCGATTTAAAGCAGACAAGAGCGAGTTGGAGCTCAATGAGTAGGCAGGTCTGATAGAGGATGCAATAAGGGAATCCACAGAGAGGTTTACTAAAGCAGAAAATGGCTATGTGATATTGTCGACGGCGAGCGAGGCAGACATAGAGGTGAGTGAAGAAATATGAGGTTCAGCATTTTACAAGTTGGTGTAGATTTAATGTGTATGAAGCTCTGATTTTGAGTGGGGAAAGCCAGATTGGGTAAGCACTAGTGGGGACGGAATTGAGGCATGGGTGAGTTTGGATGAGAATGACTTGCTTGCGTTGGAACCACGGGATGGCGATGCTTTAGCATTTACTTGTTAGTCAAAGCATATCGTTGTATTTAGATCAATCATTTAAGGAATAATTTGTGAAGGAAAAAAAAAAAATAAGAACGAACAAATGAATGAAATGAAAGTTATTATTATTATTATTTATTCTAACCACTCTTTATTAGCTTCAAACTCATATAACAAAATTGAATACTGACTAAGAAAAGAGAGCAAACAAGCTTGAGATTTGGATCCATCTTTCATCACAATCTCATCAAAGCTATTGCTTACTAATTATTTGTTTGTACTTATATATTTGTACAATTGGCAAAAACAAACAAAATCTAACTTGATGAGTGTGGGTGTGCTTAATTTTATACAACTCCATGTCCGTGTCCATGGCAATTACCGCATAAGCGTGATCTTCTTGAAATCTTGTCCAAATACAACTTTTTGAGCACAAAGAAATTGACCAAGAAGAAGCAACACCCAACGACACACGTGGCAATGGCAAGTCCTGACGGATTTCCCAAAGTCGCATACGTGCCTGTCACGAACGCAAGCACCATTGCTCCCATAGCCAAGATTGTGAGGCAAAACGCCCAAATTACGCGGTTGAAAAGCTTGGTTTGGTTTGCATAAAGCGCGGTGATGAAGTACATGAACACCGCAGAAGTTGAAAGCACCATGGCCACGGTGTCCGTGACAAAAAACGCTTTGAAAGCCGCCTGTCTTGTAAAAATTGCATCGCCTTGGATTGGACCCATATTGTTGCTGCAGTTACCGCCTGGTAAGGTGAAACCAGCTGTGAAAGTCACAGTTGCTATGAGCGCAGCTACTATCAGATGTGTTTCCCCTACTTTTTTGAGGTGTTCGCGTGCTGTGTCCCCTTTTTCGCCCTCGTCTTTGTTAATTACCTTCCTTAGGCCTCCTTTTGCACCGGCTAATGCTAGTTCTCGCCTTACAAGACTCTGTTTTTATTCATTATGGTCAGTTAAAAGGTGAAAATTTGAAATGAGAATTCAAAATTCAAAAAAAGAAGATTAATTAATTTGAATTATTTGAGCAAAACGACTATTGAAATTGTATTTAGCACAGAAAGATTCTTATTCCAACTAATGTATTTGTGAACATGTTGGTCAAGCTTGCTACCTTATTTTCTTTTCTTTTCTCAGATTGTGATGGTGAAAATCCCCTAAGAAAGAAGCTGGTGTACGAAAAGCATTTGTGCATTACAAAAAAAAACACATATTGTATCAATGTTAAACTGAATCAAATCTGTGTTTGACATACCTTCAATGTTGAGAATTGATGAGTGCACGTTGCAATGTCGAGGGCTGTCAAGTTCTCCGCATTATATGCAGACTTATCCACCCTCGGGTCAATAATAAGTGACCGAATATAGCAGCCCCAAGTCGCCAAGAGATGCAGAGGCGTGTTCCCATTGACATCCTTCTCATTTATGAGGCTGCCAAATAAGGGATTCTTTAACATTAACCCCACAGAGCCGGCTTCGTTGTTTTCCACAGCAACATGAAGAGCATTCTGTCCTCTGCCATCGACAAGCTCACAGCAATCGGGACACTGGGAAACGAGCTCTTGCATTGACTCTGTGTGACCTCGACTAGCTGCAATGTGGAGAGCTGTCTTGCCTTCTTTGTTTGGGGTGTATGCTGCTGATTTTTCCTGTCTTAGTAGCAGTCTGACCATCTTGACATGGTTGAAGTGTGCAGCGTAGTGAAGCGGTGTCCATCCATCTTCATCAGCTATTTCGGTTAGAAATTTCTTTTTTTCCAATATTTTTAATGTCATTCCTGCCATAAAAACAATAAATTTGACAGAAATGTTAGGCTAAATGACCTTCTGATCGAAAAAGGGAAACATAATTGGTTGCAGGATTAGTTTTGCTATGATGGAGAAAATTATCAGCTTAAATTTTTGACCCAAAAAGCTGAATCCATACTTTTGGCATTATCACTAAATTTATCAGCTTAAATTTTGCAACCAAAATTTCTCTGTTTATACTTTTTGGCATTTTCACCAAATTTGTCATGTTAAATTTTGCAATCAAAATCAACAAATTCATACTTTTAGCATTTTCACAAAATTCATCCTAATCAAAGGCAGTTGATGATAGGGATTGCAACAGGATGAAATGGAGACGGGTTTGTAGTGCCTGCCTCAAACCATATCATTGTCAGGGAAAATTAGGGCAGGGCAGTACAAACCCAACTTTGGTTAACTTGATCAAAAGATGGCAATAATGATGTGGGTGGTAGTGGAGGTGGTAGGTGGAGTGGATGGTATGTTTACATTTTACAATTTACATTTTACATTAACATCTACCTTTGTCGTTGCGAATCACAGCTGCATGCAAGGCGGTTCTCCCCATGGGCCCACCATGAGCCGGGGAACTCCCCTTGTCCAAAATCACAAACACCAACTCCCTAAGCCCCCCCTCCACGGCCAAGTAAAGCGGGCTTTCCCCAGCCCGGTTGCCATAGTACTCGAACTCCGGATCTTCCCTCACCAACAACTCCCCCACCTTCACCCACCCGTTCCTCGCGGCCATATGCAACGCAGTGTCCTTCTCCTCATTCACCATCCTCACCATTTCCTCCACCACTCCAACCCCGCTCTCCATATCGTTCCCCTGAGTCCTTGCGCACTCAATCAGGGCCACGACTATGTCAGCATAGCCTTTCTTGGCAGCAATATGGAGCGGAGTTTCGCCTTTCTTATTCACCGTCTTCAAAAGGGCCGTGCACGTAGACAGAACATGTTCAACGCATTGGGATCGGCCATAGAGGGATGCAATGTGGAGGACAGTGTTGCTGGTTGGTGTTGATTGGCATTCAAGTTGATTGCATTGCTTGAGGATGTGGACATGGCCATCCATGGCGGCTTTGAATAGCTTCCTATCCATATGAGTGGTCTAAAGACTAGTCTAGACTAGAGACGATCTCTTTGGTGTGGCCTAATTTAATATAAATACAAGGTCTATGATGTCATGCCTTTGATTGACTGAATTGGGTTATGGTCAATTTTGAAGAGTATATTGGCATCAGAACCAGGAAACTGCATGGTGGTGGTCCTCTTCCTCCTCAGACCACAGACAGTTGTGGGGGAAGAGTGTTTTTGCTGAGATGCTTCCTCGTAATTCACTTCTATAAGAGCATCTCCAACGGTAATAGGCATTTTACCTATCTAAATATTACTATAAAGTATATATTTTATTTTGCCTATCAACTATTTCATGTTTCTACTCCAACCATGCTCTTTATTTTAGCTATTCATCTAAATACTATTAATTTTATAAAATGCCACATCAGCAACAAAGATGGAGGGAAATGATCCTAATGATTAAATATTTTTTGCCTAGTCTTGAAGGCTAGCTACATGTAGCTAGTGAATATGAGTTGAGCTAAAATGCCTAATCATATGCCTAGTGCATTGGAGTTGAAAAAAATGAGTTATACTAGGCATTTTAACTAACAAGCATGATATGCCTAGTGGGTTGGAGATGCTCTAAGTAGGCCAATATTTTAGATGCATACGGTTGTTTAAATAGGGCATAGGGTTGTTTGGTCATAGTCTTTTGGGGTGCAGTTGGTGGTTGGGATTAGGATTTTATGCTATAATTACTTCGAAATAATCTTTGTTATTAATAATGATTGTATTTTGTGCTTAGACACCTTACTTAAATGGCAGTGGTGCTAGGGACCCCCAGTGGGGGCACCCCCAGCACCCCCAGTAAGCAAAAAAATTTTTTTTTTTTTTTTTTTTCTTTTCCTTCCAATCACCCAATGCCACGTGGCATTGGGGGTCACTGGGGGTCGGTTTTAGTGGGGGTCTAAGGCATTTTTCCTTAAATGGGCATGGTTTCTGTCCAGTCCTTAATCAGATTAGACCATGTTGTTGGGTATGTGGGGACCTACCACGAGTCTCGTTTTGATAATCTGAACCGTTCAATGTATAGAACTCGTCGAGTACTATATATTCATTAAAATTCACGTTAATCAGATATCGATAGCTATGTGATCAAATCAGTTTTGTATAAAAAAATGGACGGTGAATAAATTAACGGTGACAAAAATCTGTTTTGATCACATAGCTATCGATATCCGATCAACGTGATTTTTTACAGGCATATAGTACTCGACGAGTTCTACACATTGAACGGTTCAGATTATCAAAACGGGACCCGTAATCAGACTGGACAGAATTGTAAATAGAATCATTAGGGAGAAGACGATTGGTGTTTTGCAAACTTCAATTATTATTATTATTATTATTTTCTTGATCTGGGTATTGAACTTGATTAACGGATTGGAATGCCTTCTCCAACAATTATGATATATGTTCAATTGATTCAATTTTGATTTTTAATTTTAAATTTTGTGTTAATGTGGTTTAATTGATCATAATTTTAATATTTTTTATGAAAAATTATATCACTAAATTTGAGGTTAACTCACTAAATTAAGTAAATTATAATTTTGTCATTAAAAATATGACACATGAAACTTACATACATAGTTTTCATAAAAATATGCTAAGAGTTGTAATTAATTAGATTAATTTGAGATAAAGTCATAATTTTGGGATCAAAATCGAGTTAATTAAAATTACAAAAATCAAACCGACACAATGATTAAAATATATGAATAACCGTCATAATTTGTCCTAAAAAATTATAATAAAAGCTAGTCTAGTGTTGCGGAAATGCTGAAATAAGCTAGTTTGTAGTTACTTATTAAATTTTTTTTTTATACAAACTTATTATTAATATTATGATCCCAAAAAAGAGAATTTGGTAATATTATGGATACAAAACCAAATTAGAGATTTTAGTTTATACAATTTTCATAATTGAAATACTATATTTTTTTATGTTTTTGTATTTTGTTTTACTACACCCACCATGCAGTTATTTTCTCTATTTTTTTTCTTGACTAGAATTTTCCATAAGCTTGACTGAGAGTATGTGACAATCTAATTGAAATGTCTTCTCCAATAATTATACATTTGCTACACCACCATTCTTATTGATATGTCTATTTGTACTCTTTTGTATCCATTCCAAAAAATAAAAAAAAATAAAAGTTAGTTTGTTGTAGCGAAAATGCAAAAATAAACAACAGAACCGACCACATACACTCACATAAATTATGTAATCAATTATTATTATTTTTGTATACAAACTTATTATCAATGTTATCATCCCAAAAAATAGATTTTAGTAATATTATTAATACAAAAACCAACTACAAAATTGACTATAATCACGAAGCGTCAGGCTTCTCTTTAGTCTGATGATTGGCGGATACTGTTGGGCCCGTGAAAGCCCACTACGGGTCTTATTTTGATAATCCAAACCGTTCAATCTGTAAAACTCGTCAAGTATTTTATCCCTGTTACATTGATCAGGTATCGATAGCTATTTGATTGGATTAGATTTTTGTCAACGGTAAATATAATTTTTTAAATAAATTATTGACAAAAATCTAATCCAATCAAGTAACAATCGATATCCAATGATTTTTTACAGAGATAAAGTATTCAAAGAGTTTTACACATTGATCTGTTTGGATTATCAAAACGGGACCTATGATGGGCCCATGGGCACAATAATTCGCTCTAGTCCACCATATAAACTGAAAAGAAGCCTCTCTCAATCAGGAACACTTCAGTTAATGAGACCCATCACTCAAGAGATTGCTTACTCACAATACTCCAACTATATTTTTGTCAGTGATTTTATAATTGGCTGTGTCTATAAATTTGTTGAAGAGAATTAGCGCGTTAAGGGTATGTTTGATTGGAAGGATTAAAGCATGGGATTGGGATTATTAATCCGTGGGTCCAATCATCCTAGGTTTGTTTTGATATTTTGGTTTAGGATTATTAATCCAATGGATAATTAATCCAACAAATTTGTAGGATTATTAGTAATGGGGTAGGGGTGGGATAGTTAATACCACACTAATTTGATAGGATTATTAATACCTCACTATTAATGTTGTGAATCAAACATGACCTAAGAGTATTGATATCAACTAATGAGATTTTTAATATAAGATCTTTTTCTCTTGTGATCAACACATGGTATAGGATATAAATCCTAGTGATCTCTCCTATTTTAAGATTGATTTGTGGATAAAAGTTGATGCACACATCTATTTGTCTAGTGTACCAAATCACTAGTTAGAATATTGGGAAAATAAGAGTCAGGAAAAATTAATTACAAAGAAGTGAAAAATATTATGAATATTAATAATTATAATTATAATTTTTTTATTTGTTTATTCTTAATTTATATTGATACCATGTCAGTCTAATGGTCCCTAGAATATTTGTCTCCCCTTTATTTGCTCTACTACTAGTCTAATAAATATATTGACTATTCTATTTTCAAAATTTTCAACTTTGATCATACGGCATGTGACTGATTATGATGTTTTAAAATTTTTAAAAATATTTCTATATGTAATATTATAATAAATTATAATCATAATAATAATTAAATATAATACATAATTAATTCAAAGAAATCCTTAAAGTGAAAAAAAAAAAAATCTAATAAATAAACGGTAGATAAGATCCACAAATTAGTAAAGAGATTCAAATGACCAACCTCTTAATTTGAGGTGCAATGATTGGAAAATTTTAATCTTACAAAAAAAAACTAAAAATTTGCATTAGGTGAAGTTTTGTCTTGGTTCTTTATAAATTTGTCAACTTTGTTCAAAGTGTTGATTGATTCTATTTTCTTTGAAGTGGAAAATTATAATCTTACAAATATATATATATACTGGCCCACGTTTTGTGCCCTCTATTTGTAGATTCAGTAAGGATCCTCTAGAGTGAAATTTTCTTAAAGTTTCCTAGAGTACTACATTGTGTGGTTGAGATTTACTGGCAAGTCACATCAGAAAAATTGATGTGACTTGACAGTAAATCTCAACCACACAATGTAACACTTTAGGAAACTTTAAGAAAAAATCACTATAGAGAATCCTTGCTCTTGTAGATTTCCCAATTCCATCGAAGGGTTGGTTGATTGTGTTGTTTCCAAAGTGGAAAATTCTGAAACCCCCCACCAAAAAAATAAAAATAAAAAATAAAAAAGGTGTACATAAAATTTATTGAAAATGATATGGTGACAAATTTTCAATTAATAACCATTCTGATGGGCATTTTGTTTTAGAGTAAAAGTATTCCATTCAATTCATTTTATTTTGTACAAAAATTTTGTATACATTTTATTTTTATTTTTATTTTTTGTGCTGGTGAAATATTTCAGTGTACAATTGTTGGTTTTTTGGCTTTCGAAGGTTAGTATTGTAATTTTGAACGTACCAGTAAGGATCAATCAGTCCTTACAGATTATTAATTGCCAACCAATTATCAGACGATTGTGTTTTAATTCTTTCAGCCTCAATGAGGAAGATTTTTACTGGTGGCTTTGTTTTAGGAGAATTAAGCAGACAATGATTAAACGAAGAACAATTGTAACATTTCATTAAGTAAAATAGAAGACTTACAAAGATCCAAATCAGCCTCGTAGAGGTTTACAGCGGCAGACTACTTGAAACTACTCCTATGAACGAAGTGCAGTATAGGAATTTAAAGTACAGGAATGTAAAGAACAAAAAATATAAAAACTGGAAAGGAAAATAAAGTAGATAAAATTGATTTTTTGGATCTGAGTCTGGGGGCTCTTTCTAGGACCTTCTCTGCTATTTATACTTCTCAATGGTAACCGTCGAATCATCCTTCTATGATTGCTGATCATGTTTCCTCACAATTAGCTCCGCTACGCCATGTCTGCAGTTAGGCTTCCCTCTTGATATTTGAATTTAAATATGAGTAACCGTTAAGGCCACGTCATCTCGTACCTCTCTGCTGATTCCATACTATATAGATCCATAATAGCCAATGCTAACTGCCACGTGTGTGATTATGATTGAAGACTTGAATTGTCTTTCCATATTACCTTCATCTTGCCATGTGTTAAACTGTGATTAACTTATACAAAATATGTAGCCAATATTACCCCCTGGACTAATATACCCAATACTTTGTGATATTAGTGGATCAAGGCATTTTACCCACGTCTTAGAATGTGCATGGGCTT